CGCGATGGGCTGTATCCCAACGGTTTCTCTGCAACCTGCTCGCGAGGTCGGGCGCGCCGGCGACCACCACGCAGGAAATGGCGAAGGAGTTCACGGAGGCCCTGCTCGGCGCGGCGGAGACGGAGCTGTCTGAGGAACCCCGGAGGCGGCGCACCACGGAATGGAACATGACCACCGCGGCACGGACAGCCCTGGCGACCGCCCTTGACAAGCGACGGGCTGCGCGACATTCCTTCAAGGCCGGACCGAACGCAGCAACGTGGAGGATCCTCAAAGCAACGTGCAAGGGGGTGAAGGCAACAATCGCAACGAGCATCTACGACCACCTGGAAAGATACGTGACGGAGCTCGAAGCGATCTACCAGGACCGCGACATGCGGGGGCTGTACCAACACCTCAAGCGGTCAACGGGCCTCAGCGGGAGACAAGCTGGGGGGCAGCAGTTCGTTACAGACGAGAACGGCGTGCTACTCCGGAACAAGGATGCCATCCTCAAGCGGTGGCGGAGATTCTTCAATACCCTCCTGAACTCCAAGTCCCCCACTCTGAACCCAGACGTTGTCGAACAGGTGATGCAGCGACCAGCGACGCGCGCCACCCGACACCTGGCGGCGGTACCAGACCTCGAGGAGGTTGAGGCGGCGACGAAAGGCCTGGGGAACTGGAAGGCGGTTGGTCCCGACCTCCTTGCCGCCGAACTGCTCAAGGTCGACGGCGACGACGAGCCAGTTGTACTGGAGCGCCTCCGTGCCATCTTCGTCGAAGTGTGGAATGGGGGAGAGATGCCGCAGGAGTGGAAGGATGCCATCATTAAGGTGCTGTACAAGAAGGGTGACCGTTCGAACTGCAACAACTACAGGGGCATCTCGCTGCTCTCGCATGTAGGCAAAGTACTCGCCAAGACCATCACCAACCGCCTGAGCGCATTCTGCGAAGCCAACGAAATCCTCCCGGAGGAACAGTGCGGGTTCCGGCCTGGCCGATCCACGGTATGCATGCTGTTCGTTGTGCGCCGACTCCAGGAGCTGGGGCGGAGGAGGAGAATCCCGCTCTACATGTGCTTCATCGATCTGCAGAAGGCATATGACTCGGTGGACCGGGAGCTACTGTGGAAGGTGCTGGCCCGGGCCGGGATCCCCGGGGAGATGATCGCCGTCATCCGCAAGTTCCACGTCGGAATGCGGGCCCGGGTCCGCACGGACGATGGGGAGCTATCGGACTGGTTCCCGGTCACGCAGGGATTACGACAAGGGTGCTCAATGTCCCCACTGCTGTTCAACGTCTTCTTCGCAGCGCCTCTCGAGATCATTGTCACACGGTTCAGCCAAGATGAGGTTATCGTGCGGGACCTAGTGTACTTGAAGGAGGAGGAACGGAGGGGGGAGGGATTGCTGGACCGAGTCCGGAGGGCGGTGTGGGGGATGCTATATGCCGACGATGCCGGCGTTGTGTCGAAGTCCGCCGACGGCCTGGCGAGGATGATGACCATTATCGTGGAGGTGTTCCGGGAGTTCGGGCTGACGGTGTCGGAGAGGAAGACGGAGACCCTGGTGATGCGGGTGAAGGAGAGACAGCGACCGCCGCCGCCGCCACCGCCGGTGCTGACCATCGAAGCAGCGGGGCAAAGGTACGCACAGACGACCGAGTTCCGATACCTGGGCGGCCTCGTCAACGAGCAGGGCGACCTTACCCGAGAGATCAACCACAGGAGCAAAGCAGCGTGGGCGTGCATTAAGCGATACGCCACGGAGCTCTTCGACCGACCGGGAGCACCGTTTCGCCTCAAAGCCCGCCTGCTCCAGGCGGAGGCAGTGGAGGCACTGCTATACGGCTGCATGACATGGTCCCCACGCCGCAACCACTACGGAATGCTGCAGACGACACACCACCGGCTACTCCTGCGAGTCATCGGCTACCGGCGCAAACGAGGCACCTACCGGCAGCTGTCATACGCCCAGGCGCTAAAGAGGGTCGGCTGCCAGAGCGTGGAGGCCACTGTCCGTCAACGGCGCCTGCTCTTTGCGGGGGCCGTGGCAAGACAGCCGGACGGGCGGCTTCCGAAACGGCTGATGTTCGGCGAGTTGGTGGGAGGGGAGGACCCGGGCAGGGGAAACCCGGAGCAGAACTGGCTGACATGCCTGAAGGACGACATGAAGATGTTCGAAGCCAGGTACGGCTCCACGACCGACAAGCCGAGCGTCTTCGGAGTCCCGAAGTTAGTCTGGGGTGAGGCGGCGAAGGTGGAGGGGGGGGTACCGTGGCACGCGGGGGTGCTACAGGGAGCTGAGAGGTTTATGGCCTCTTGGCACAAGGGCGAGGAGAAGGCCAGCCGACAACGAGCCATCAAACGAGGAGACAGCGGGCCCAAAAATAGTCTAGATACGGCACCAATCAACGGGGCGGGAGGGGGGCGGGAGGAAACGGCGCGGGAAGAAAGCAAGCGAGAAGAGACCGACCGGGTGACGTGACATGTTGCGGTTGAATTTCAGCGACTAGTTTTTCTGTTGCCCTCTCCCCCGTTTGCTGTCGCGTTCAGACTGTCTCTAGGGATATCCCTGTCTCTGTGCGAGTTTGTTTGTGTCCTCGTCTTTGCTTTATTCTGTTTTATTTTGTCTTTTGTTTTGTTTTTTACTGGCACGTACCCCCGCCCCTTCCTTTGGCCGTCGACCTGCCTCCATGTAGTGGGAGGCTACCCCCCCAGGCTGGTGGTGCGGCCGTTCCACTAGTCTAATTATTTATTTTATTTTATTTTATTTGTTTCTGATTATATTTTGTTTTCTTGTATTTTATCGCTCTGCTAACCCTTGGGGTCCATTTTATTTTGGTATACCTTTTCTAGGTACGTTAGCCTGTGACCACGGAAATTGACCGAGTCAAGTGCTGGATTAGTACGGAGAGATTGAGACAGAAGGAGGTACTGGATAGAGAGACCGGGATGGTTTTTAATGTGAAGACAACAACAACCGAAGTCGTTGCCGCAAGTGCTCAGGAGCAGGTCTACGTTTGCAGCATACCTTTTACTCTTGCGCTGAGTTGGCGACGAAAGTGGGAAGCACTTCATTGCATCGTTGAAGCTAGAGATATGCGGCGTAAGCCCCGTGTGGACCTTTGATGCTTACACCCCTGGGATGAACCAGCTTTTTTTTGTGGCCGTGTCCCCGAGTGTCTACGCAGTCGTCACTCTTTTTTAATGATCGTCCGGGTCGTACCTGTTCTTTCCCGCGTACACGATACACAGGGGCAGCCAGCAGCAGTAGCGGGGGCGCACAGGCGTAACCACGGTACAGTGGAAAGCTACAAAAAGGATCTAGCTTCGGCCCGTGTACAACCGCGCTTCCTCAAACTACAAAGGTGGGGCTTTACACAGCTTCTCTGACCCGCGTGATTTTTTCGCAGTCACCTGCAGAGATTAGCAGTGTACAAGACGACACGCACGCGGCAACCCTGGTAAAGGTCGGTGCCCAGAGTAAGGGGTACCTGACAAGTCGGCCAATAGCAGTAGCGAGGGCGCATAGGTACAACCACCGCATAGAGCGGAGGAACACCAAGAGAGAGGTGGCGCCAGTGGGAACGGATGTGTGGGATCTAGCTTTGCCTCGCGTACTTTCAACATTTCAGAGGCGCGTCTTTCGCAGCTCCTCTGACGCGGGTGCGCGTTCGCAGCACGTGCAGAGATTAGCAGTGTATCGGATGACACGCACGCGGTAACCCTGGTGAAGGTCGGCGCTTAGGGTAAGGGTTACCTGGCAAGCCGGCGTGTTTGTCCGATCCTGTTGCCCTGTTCTCCTTTGTTATTTTGTGAGCGCGTGTGAAACAACCGTGATCTAGATGCCCGAAATAGCGGAGGTGACCACGCCGCAGACCGTCGTGGCATCGTTCGTGCGCCACAGCAAAATGCATAGCTTGGTTCTTTGATACGATTATCCCATTGTACGGGTAGTTTGATTCATCCCTCGACCGCGAAAGACGTTCGGCAGAAAGCGATTGCACACACCCACTAGACTTCAATTTTTATAGCTCCTGCCACAGCACTTTGCATTTGTCCCACAAACTTCCGTCTCTGAATCCACACAAGTGCCCCCCTTCAACGGCTCCGACCGATTGTGACGTACCCGCTTGTCCCGTATCGGTCGATCGATAGACCTAATTGGAAGAGGATGGACCTAAGGTGTCACAGTCAACGCCAAGGGCCGCGTGGTAAAAACTACATCTGTGGGCCAACAACGTCCGAGATTTTTAAGGCCTTCCCTGTGGACGTTGCGTGTTGCTCTCTTGCGATGCGTTCGACCTTTCCCAAGAACTCGGTGACCGAAAGTGATCCTTTTCATGAAAGCAACAACGTTGTCTTTTTGGTACGTCCTCGCGTTATGCACGCGGTCTACACCTGAGTACCCTTTGTATGTAAAATCACCGCAATACCAGCACGCGCTACGCACGATGCTACTGTACTCGTCAAAGCTAATCGACACATTAATATTCCGCCTGTTAGCCTGCTCCTTGAACACGCGCCACCGGTAAGCCACATTAGTTTTCCTGTCTTCCAAGTGCTTCTGGTACGCAGCGGACCTTCAGTATCGCTTATTTTGAAGGGCTCGGGTGTTTCCTTGCCCATGTCGGTAGACATTCGACTATAATACGGCACGTAGTCTAGACTACAGCAGTAGTATTTGAACTTTTTTCGTTTTTTCTCGCCCTGCTACGCCTACATTTTTTTTGGACGTTGCAGATGGCTTGTGTGGTGGGTGGGTGCCACGTGTAGAGAATGAGTGTACTGCACTAGGCCTCCATAGCCGTCAACGCCTGATGCTCGGTGTCTGCGTGACGTCACGTTGTCACCACCCTCCAAGAAATGCTGGGTTTTGCTCCTTGCACCGCAAGAAAAAACATTTTTTTCAACGTCACAGCAGCCGCAGCAAATCACTAATCCTGGGTTTTGCTCCTTGCACCGCAAGAAAAAACATTTCAAGTCACAGCAGCCGCAGCAAATCACTAAATATACCATGATTGCCCAAGGTTATTTGTCAGCAGGTGTTTCACCCGTTGCTCGTTCAACTCTCTGATGATTGTGAATTGATTGTGCGGAAGTTGAACGGACGAACGGACATTCAGTTTGCAGGAGCGAAAATGTAGACGGCTCAGCCTTTCCGCTCGCTGTGCTGGTTTGCTATGCGCCGCTTGACCACGGGCAGAACAACGAAGATGATGAATGGGAGATCCTGCGGGCGGTCACGACCCAACAGACCGCCCTCCTTCAGGCCGCGAAGCCCACTTTGCAAGACGTTCTATCAGCACGTCGCGGGCCAGCAGCGGGCGTACGCCAAGGCGAGTGAAATTGTAGATAACAGAGGACGGAAAAAAATGGTCGGCACATGTGTGTGCATACATGATTGCGAAGAGCTCGTTCGGCTCCAGAAATAAATTCAGTAGGTCAGTCGAATACTTGTCGTTCGATGTTCGATATTTCACTCATCCTTTTGTGGTGTCTGGCTCTCTCACCGGAGAGATACTGCTGTAGGTGCGGCTGTTGTTTTTTGTTGTTTTTTGGAAAGTGCAGTTAATTCGCCTTGTCCTCCACATTCAGTGGTCACACCGAGGGTGTACTGTCGATTCACTTCCCCGTTCGCAGCTTCGCAGCATGCAATAGCTATACGAACTCGATCGTTGGTACCACCGGAATACGTTTTTTCGCGCGAAAATATATAAAGATCCATTATTAACTGCTGTATATTCTAGCGTAGCCTAGACTAGGCATCGTAAAGTAGGAAATTTTGAATTCGAAATCCGAATCGTGTACTTTAATGGTGTGCTGTCATCCGCTAGATAAAACATGTCAAACGACACTGCGCCATGATCCCTGTGAAGGCCACATTCCACACAAAAATAAGAATGTATCCGCCTATCTATACAGATGCTTTTGTTCCTAGCTCCAACTGGCATTTCTGATAACTCAGTGTTAGACTTACACAAACTCAAAACAAGCCAAGCCTCCAGTTGGTTTCAATCCACTTACTGAAAGGACTTCACCACATCCCTTGCGACTGAGGTTATATCTCGAACGAGCAGTCTTTCTGTGAGGTTATGTTTACTTCCTAAAAACATGATCACTGATGCACGTGGGGGGGCTTAACCCGCAACTTGAGGGAGTGTGTCCGAATCGAATCCGAACGAAACCCTCCCAGCAGGGTAATTGTCCACAGTCTACAGCAGTATAGTATTTTCCTCATCTTTTCCCCCTGTGNACACAAACTCAAAACAAGCCAAGCCTCCAGTTGGTTTCAATCCACTTACTGAAAGGACTTCACCACATCCCTTTCGACTGAGGTTATATCTCGAACGAGCAGTCTTTCTGTGAGGTTATGTTTACTTCCTAAAAACATGATCACTGATGCACGTGGGGGGGCTTAACCCGCAACTTGAGGGAGTGTGTCCGAATCGAATCCGAACGAAACCCTCCCAGCAGGGTAATTGTCCACAGTCTACAGCAGTATAGTATTTTCCTCATCTTTTCCCCCTGTGCACATGTTCGCCGAATAGACTACACGCCATTGTTGTGGTTGCTGCACCTGCTGTGACATTGAAAAAACAACTCCACCGTTCGTTTAATAATTTCAATCAGGACGAGAAACGATTCACGAGGAAGCTTGTGAAGGCCACGAAGAGCTCGCCCCCCTCGGACATGGAACTTGTCCGCGCTCTGGTCGACGAAGCCACCACGAAGGGGTTCCGGTCAGCTGCAATAGACGAGGCTACCAAGGCCAAGACGAAGCATGATGATCAGCAGAGCGCGATCGCCATCTTCAGGTGACAGATGTGCATTTTTCACCAACAGTCACCATGGCTTGCTCAAGACTTGGGG